GAACGAGTCCTGGCACAAAAGCGGAAAAAGCATTAACCAATGCAAACTAAATACTAATTTTAGTTATTGTCCCATGTATTAGCACAGTGTAAAATATATAAGTACACGCATAATGAAGATTATTTGTTATATATTTTAGAACAAACGGTCGTATTCTTAAATGGTGTCTTATTGTAAGCTGGAATAGTACGAAATAATATAATTCATATCATAGGAGGTAGTAAAATTCATGTTATAAGTTATAAGCCTTCTTTATAAGGAGAGGCCTATGTCCAGCAGTGGACTATTAAAAGCTGTTGATGATGATGACAAGGATTGTATTGTGTTTTTGTGTTCCTATGTGCTATTTTTGTTAAAGTATTGGACTAATGTGAACCAAAATTACCTATTAGAAAACATTTACATAAGTTATAGTAGTTTCAAAGTTGTCTGCAAGGGATCACAGTCATACATAAGTTAATATAACAAGATAGAGATAACTCTACATTAACTAGATAAATATGTATATGTACTTTATCGCTCCTTTGTGCCCTATTTTTTATGCGCAATAAAGAGTATCCATATATCTGTCATTGTAACTATCTCTTCATCTGAGACAGTCTGGGTACTTTCCTCTATAACAATAATATAGTAGGTAATATAAAAATAATGTTGCATAAGAATATTTTTAAACTACATTAATGTAGTCAAAAAACTGACATAAATACATGTTTTATTATACTTATTTTTGTATATTATTATTTAATTTTACATATCTAAATGTTATATAGTTTTTGCTTCTAACCAATTCATAAATAAAGTATTCCCATAAACTCTTTGAATATTCATAGGATGAAGTCACCAGCTGTATTGAAAGGGTCCTTTATCGTAGGTACGTAACAAAACGCTCACTTTTGTTTGCTTGAGTGGCTCTCATTCATCTTGATAAGTAGTTAAAGTAATATCAATATTCTGGAAGTTTCCCAAAATCTTATCGCAACTAATAGAAAATATCTTAGGTGTCGGTCAGATCACATTTGATCGAAGATGTCGTGGGTATTTTTTGGCAATAAATAAAGATAATGTTTTATGTGAAAAAGTTACCTACCTATGTTATATAAATAAGCTAAATAGAATAGTTACGCAATTGCCTAGTACACAGTTGTGAGGTTAACGAGGAATCAAAACCAATGGAGCGACTATGCTATCGTGTCAAGGCAACAATGAGCCTTCCTACGGCATCGCAGCAATTTAATCAGGCGCCTGTCCTACGACGTCCATCCATTCTTCTTAAATTAGTCCCCGATTATGCTTCGATTGAGTGAGAGCAAAGTGTGAGAACATATAAATACTTACACGACACGCACACATGCAAAAATATCGTACGATATCAGGCAGCCAATGACAGAGAGCGGCGTGGTGGGCTCGGCTCCCCACTACACCATTGGAATGCATAGTGCTAAGAACGGTACTGGTAAAAATAACTACCTGTTTGACAGGATAAACACGAAGTCAGGTGACGTTTGAGGCCATTTTTTTATTACTAGACGTTTGCAAGTGTTGCACAAATATTTCAGTACCTATGTACCAATATTCATGTAGACATTAAACGTTATTAATAAAGTTGAACTGCTTACAAACTGTATTGCACTTGCAAATTATTTAAATAGCTATGTTGTAGATTAAAAATTGCACTAAGCATTAATTACTTTAAAATAAAAGTAGATATATTATGTATCGGAACTAATTCAACATAGGACATAGGGTCATGTTGTAAATTTTTCCAATTGAATCACATGTGAGTAAACAGCTGATTGCGTGCACGCCACGTGAAACACGATCGGGCGTGGGTGACGCACACATTGCGCATCGGACAACTAAAACGTCAATCTATGAAAAGACAGATGAATGGTATAATTACGTTTGCAATAGACGAATGTATTTTATTCATTGTACGGTTCTGTTTTCTACTGGTTTTTGTTCTTACTTTTTTAGTTTAATAAGTTGACTGGGTCCAGGAAAGATTGTTTTATTCAAAACACTCTTGGGCGTAATTACAGAAGATATATATTTCGGTAATTTGATTTAGTATTCATCAGCGACCTTTCAGTTTCAGAATCGTTCAACTCTGGATTCCAATAGTTTTATAATGAATCTATTGTTCGCTAAGTAGAATTGTAAGGTTAAGAACAATCCAAAATAGATTTATTGAAACAAAGTTTGAAAGAACCTATTGAAATTAGATAATTTTATTTAGTATACGAGTATTATTCATCTCAAGGAGTTTTCTGTCTCAAGGAGGTTGTTCATAAGATGTTCTAAAACTCGTTTTATTAAAAGTACCTACACAGTTGATGCTTTTATCTAGTGATGTATACTTACCTACAGTATCATTATCGTAGTTTTGTGTTTCCGTGACAGTCAAATCATTGCATTGGCTTTCCTATCCTCGCTCGGCAAAACTACATATTATTAGACATGGAAGTTATTGCTACTTTCATATCAGATTCATTCATGAACTGATTGGTTTTAGTCACAGCTGTTACACATGTGATTGTGTTTTGGTCATAGACAAAGAAAATCAATCAATCAAAATTCTTTTTATCAAAGAATATAACCTTTTTTTTAGATTTAGATCTTTCGTCAGTCTAGCGCACATGAGAGCGAAGTTGCGGTCATGTCTGGATTTTACGTCTATTTAAGAGGCCTGGTCATGATAAAGAATTGTCAAAAATACCGACACTATACTTGCCTTTAGATCCGGAGATATTAACTATTCGGTGAGAGTTCACTCACCTTAAGAAAATCTTAATTTGAAAATAATTCTAAAAATTAAATATCTACTTAATTAGTATTTAAAACGATGTAACATCATATTATACGAGTAAATCCATGTTAAAAAGTAGAGGCCTGTAAGTTTAATATTCGAAGTTTTTTTTTTTCTGATTTTCACATTTTTTTTCATTTTTAATAATTCTGTAGTGTTGTAGCATTTTATTTTTGCTGATAAAAATGTGTAGTAATAATGTCAACTATATTCTAAAATTTCCCAAAACGACAAACGAACGGCGGTAAAGGAGATATAGCGTTTCTAAGTATTTACTATTACGTTATATTATTTCTAGATACTACGAGCATGACGAAAATCTTCAAACTTTAAAGAGTCTATGACCAGTTAACGCAAAGTTTGACTGATGATAAAACTAACGATGAAACACTTTTCTTGTCGTCAGAAGAAATTTTAACGCTGTCTGGTAACGAGTTTTTAAAAACCAAAAGTTTTGGACCTAGATAATGCTAAAATACCATATCGCCAGTACCCGCCTACCATAAGTGACTATGAAAAAGTTTGCTGGTGAACAATTATATGTTGCGGTCACCTACTTCGTTGACAACCCTAGATTGAATTTTCAAAATCCCCATATCTCTGGTACCCTGCGTTTGTCGCAATTTTTTTATAATTTTTTATGAAGATACAAATCAATAATATATAAATGCGATCATATAAAAGTTCGGCCGAAAAAAATATATAAAAGTTTTCACTCTTTCAAAGAGTTTGCACACCTCGTCAAGCAACACTATGGGCCGGTAGGCGGATGGTGAGTCCGCCGGTCGCCCCTCCTTTCGGATGAGGACCAGTTTTCTCGTCTTCCACAATTTCGGAAACTGGCCCCGCTCGAGGCATGCGCTGAAGAACCCGCGAAGATGCTTTAACCCCTAATATTAGGATTTATCAGTGCTTTTGGCGCCTAGTAATAAAGGTAGAGGTAATTGGTTATACCGTTTTCATCATATTTGGACTTACGTCCACGAAATGTCTCAGAAATAAAATAACGGGTCTTTAAATCTGCATTAAGCATAAATCTGCAGAAATTCAACCTCTTTAAAGTATCTATCTCAATAACTTGAACCAGTGGCGTAGGTAAAACAGTACGAGTATAAGCCCGCAATATTCACAACACACTGTGAAAGTCTCAGTTCTAGGGCAACAATATTGGTTGAAGTTGTTGAATCCAATCTAAATCGTTGAACGATCTCGTTGTCTTCTTCATCAGTGAAACGTGATCTACACAGATGAGATCGTCGCCTTGAAACAGAGCCGGTCGCTCTATAGGCTCCGTCCAACACAATAATATCCGAAACTCGACGGCACTCATCCATGAACTTGTGCGGATACGCATTAGCAGTATCTGTAAGGATTCAAAATATGAACATATTCCTAGGTCATTATCTCCAACAGTATCAGAGGCACAAATCAAAGTCCAGTTAGCAATAGTTAGTCACGAATAGAAAACGAAGCAGTCCAAAAATACAAGTCAAGTTTTCAACTAGGTACTACGCTAATTCTTAATACTCTCGGTCTTTCATCTTGGTTTTTTCCTATGAATTTTGATACTATCCTAGACCATTATACCTTGTTAGATAGCTATTAACCATCTACTTCGGCCAAGTTTGTTAAGTTGACGTATTAACGAAAATTATGAAACTATGTATCAACTACACAAAAACAGTAAAAATATTAAATTAAAGGATATCAGTTCTAAAAAAATTGTATAGTCAAAATTTCGGCAATTTTTAAGTCCATAATCTTTAAAATGATTAGGTTTGGGATAATACGGTATTTCACAGTGAAATCTATCACAAATGATGGTAAATACAACCCCTTAAAGTATCTAGGTCGACTTACCCAGTAACTCTATATATATATATTTATAAATATAACTGACTGCATTGATGGCGTAGTGATTTAAGCGGTCACCTCGCCGCTTTCTACTGCGCTGAGTGTTGTGGGTTCGATCCCCACATGGAACAACACTGTGTGATCCACAAATTGTTGTTCTGAGTCGAGTGTTCTTTGTGTCCGTTTCATGTATGTTTGTAAAGTCCCCCACGTCACAGGATTTATTCCTAGTGTGACAATATCATAACTATCATGAAAACTAAATTGGCAAAAGACCCAAATGATAAACGGTTTTTGATATTATTCCTTTGCTCAAAACGTGTTTATTTCTTGTTGTCAGGTGCACTCAAGGAACACTGCAATGGTGAGGAAGATCTTCTACAGAGATGTTCAATGGCTTTGCCTGTGCTCAGCTCGCCGGATATATCTTTCGCACTTACTAGGGAAGAACTGGACAAAAGTTGCATGTAAGTTTTTACACGGTATTGTGTTGTTATTTGAGGTTTGGTAATTAATATATGTAAATAATAATGTTATCTTATCTATATTTTATGTTTCATACACACATTATAGTTGCAAAATTCAGAGGTTACCCTCCCTAGTTATTTAAATAACCAAATCTAATCACGATGACACACCTATTTATAATCCAGGTAGAATATATTAATTAATTTTGATATTTTGGTAAATATTGTGTTATTTTCCTAGGCTGAATCATTATCTCAGGGCTACAGTATTACTTAACAACGTAGATAAAATTGATTGATCTAAGCAACAGGTTCATTAAACTTCTTAACCATAAAATGTCCAACTTTAAATATCCAATGACTGTAGAAGAATGTCGAATTTCTTAAGCTTTTCTCACTTGAACGGTGTGGTAGTGCAGCAATCTCTCATTTACGCTCACTAACTTGGCGAAAGTGAATAAGTCTTGTTAAAGAGTTCGCTGCGTTGAGGCGTAACTTCAGCGGAATGGCTTGGTCGGCACGCACTAAGCTCATCTTAATTTAGTGCTCTTGTTTTCGATAAATAGTAATTTGAAACTAGTTGTCGAACTTCACTCAACGGTTCATAAAGCAGCCGAATAGCCAATCTAGCACTAAACTGCGGTCGAGTCGGTGAATAATAAAATTACGAGATATTATCTAATATCGAGCGGTAATGTTTTCGTACAAATGCTTTTAATACGACTAAGTATTAATAGCGAGCATTTGTGATTTAAGATTATACATGTATAACTGCGACTTTGAATCTTTAAAATACAAATTATCTGCATAGTTATATTATGTAAAGTCTTTATTTTATTGCAAATCTATTAATGAATTAACAAAATGGATCATTATGATCATGAATGAATGTTTTAATAAATGAATTAGTGAGCCAATTAATTGACCAGGTGCCTTTGATTTTTCTTGTTATTTTTAATAAGTAACATATTTATAGGTAACATTAGTTTCGACCATTGATTTAGTCTAATGGCAAAAATACTTTAGGGGGCCTGGGGGTGACAAGTGACGTCTCCTTCTGCGAGCAGGTTATGCTTGCGAAGGAGATAGCGGAGCGAGACCGGGAGAGGTTCAGAACTCTTCCGGCTCGCCAGGCCCGAGAACGGGCCAGGTACCGCAGACGGCTCGGGCGCCGGAGGTCGCAGAGTGACCTCCGTCCTCCATAGGCGCAAGCCTGAGGATGACAGGTGAGGCCATCTGTCACTCTAGCAGAAGCACGCCGGAGCGCGCGCCCTTCGGGGCAGGAAGGGAACATCCGGGTTCCCACACAGGAGGGGTAATCTATAAGCCGTAGATGGCCCGAGATACGTCGGGGTACTAGGGCTTTCCTTTCTAGGGCATACCTGGTTCCCCGGCTACTGGTACCTGGAGACGGCGTGCGGTTTTTGGTCGGTTCGAGTCCGACATAATCACCCACTGGTGAGTGGTACCCGAGGGGATTTCCGCAAAGGTAAAAAAGGGGGACTTTTAAAGGGGCTTGAATGGGAGTTAAAGTAAAATGAATATAAAAATTATTCATAATTAATTATATATTCCGTAATTGTAATTAAATATAATGTCAATTGTAATTACTGTACCGACTGCCAATCTGAACTAGAAAATATTTGGAATCATGTCACGCTTTCTCTGCTAGATAAGAGTTATGTGCCATTCGAATATTTGATTAGAACTTCAGTCATAAAGAACAATGGCGGGTCTCCATACAAAAAAAAAATTGGAATCAAATAGCACCGTCTTGTAGTGAAAAAAATATTTAAAAATTCGGCTATTTCTTTTAAAGGGTAGGAAAAAAGATATTAGCATTTGATTTTTACAGCACTGCATTTTTTTATACAGTAAAAGTCAGATAAAGGTCTTTTATAACATAGCTGCATTATGTTTCCGTTATTTGATAAATTTATCCATGGCTATCGACTTTACATAACTATTTGATAATTATAACTGTATGTGTGCCGTTTAAATTAAAAAAAAAGATAATAAAGAATTATTATAGTCCTCTAGCTGTAAAGCTTTCGTAGGTTATTATTTTGTCACTTTTAATTGACGACCGAATGGCGTAGTGGTTTGTGTAACGGACTGCTATTCCAAAGGTCGCGGGTTCGTTTCCCGCTCAAGTCAAGCATTTGTGTGCATGAACATTTAATGTTTGATTTGGTCTGGGTGTTTCTATGTATAATATGTATGTATTTACAAAAAAAAAGTATATATGTATTTATATTAGTTGTCTAGTACCCATAGTACAAGCTTTGCTTAGTTTGGGACTAGATGGCGTTGTGTGATTGTGGTAGAATATTATTATTATAATGTGTCTGATGCATGAAATAATCATCTTACACTTATCTACATCTGCATATATAATATCCAATAAGTATATTCCTTTTCCTTAATTTATTACCTATTTCAACATGTAATGAATTGTAAATTCTAAATCCTAAACTAATAAAATCGGCAGCGGCCATTCGCCGCCTGTCGCGTCAGACGTTTAGTCTTTATATTTAAAGACAGAGCGCCAACATCTGTCAAGAGTTGTCAAAAAACCTTTGCATTTTTTCAGCTTGCAGTTGTCACTTTTTTTTTACTTAATTATATTCCACTACAGGATTTTCAAATTCGTAAATAGTGCGTTTAATAATGCACCACAAACTATATTCTTTATTGATTCAGTATTTAGAATTATATAATTGTTATCTGATTACCATATTACTATTAAGGGCTTAAAATAATAGGTCTTTCACGGCAATTTCATAGGTATGAAATTGTCGTTTTGTATGCAATAAGTGAAAGTCTGGTGGTCACATCTGCAACCAGCTTTGGTCAATCGGTCGTCCCCACTGCTCCTTCACGACAACGCGCGACCCCATACAGCGCAACAGACAGTCTCCAAGCTGCAAGAGCTGGGGTTGGAAGCTCTCCCTCATCCGCCATCATCACCAGACCTTGCACCTACCGACTCTTACTTTTTCCAAAATTTAGACAACTTTTTAGTGGGTAAAAAATTCAATTCCCGAGAGGCAGTACAAAATGCCTTTGAAGAGTTTGTTGCCTCCCGTCCAGCTGATTTTTACAAGAAGGGCATTAATAAACTGCCAATGCGTTGGCAAAGATGCGTCGATTGCATGGGTGATTACTTCGAACAACAGAAATAAAAAAATTTGAAAAAATAAGTACTTCCACTTATTGCATACAAAACGGCAATTTCATAGGTAAAGACCTAATAATATATTACGATACATTATTGGACATTATTTCCACTACTTGAAAAACATGTCTGTAAAATCCTAACACTAAACTGATAAAGGAAATTAAAACAATCGAATAAGCTTATAATACTCGTATTTTACTTTCTTTTTCTGGGTTTTTACTGACTTAGATGTTAGTTTCAAAAAACGTAGATATTTACTAGAATTAGTTCCTTATGAATGACATTTTAAGACGCTCAAATTATACTCAACTACGGCTTCGCCATTGTTCTTTACTAAACTAACTTTAAATATACATATTTAATCGTCTACTAGCTTTTGCCAGTGGCTCCGCCCTCATGTTTTTTAGTTGTCGCGGTAAAAAGTAACCTAATATAGAAGAATATATTATCAATCAAAGTATCTCCATGCCAAATTTCATTAAAATCGGTGCAGCGGTTTAGCCAGTTTAAGTGTAACAGTATGCTAGCTTATGCAGTATGTAGCTATGATAATAGTAGGGATGTACAGTACTATATTTCTATTATACAGGTATTGGCAGTTCAACTGAATGTTTGGTCAAAGGTCATTACTGTTATATTACGAAAATATAATTTATTAAATTTATATTACAGTCGCCGGTTCTTATCATAGCACAGTTTTAAGAGTCGATGTTAATTGCGCCAAAAATACGCATTCTTTTGACTTATTGTCAAGACGCTATATTACTGTTTGAGTATAATTATCAACTTGGATAAAAAAATTATACCAATGTTTTCGAGGCACAAGTCGTTATTGTTGCATCACTGTAAGCTACCATATCGTTGTTACGACATAAATATAATATATTAAACACCCCTTAAGTAAAAAAGGTCCTCCTGACTAGGCCTCTACATTGGCTGGCATACATTTTTTTAATATGACTAACCCATCGTTCTTGTTACAGCGAGCTTCGCACGGGAATTAAATGCATAGACAACTACACCAACGTGTGTATGGAGAAACACGAACAGGTGATGTTCCGTAAAATTTACGCTGGCATTACTGACGTGGTCCAGGAGCTTTGTACCAGGGGAAAATATCAGGACGAGTATTTGAAACATGCCGATTGTGTTAAGAATGTCAGGTCAGAGTATGAGACGTGCAGCAAGAGATATGAAGTCACTCTCATGACGTTGAGCAACCATGAGCAGGATCAATATCAAACAGACCACACTGCAATTGCGACTAGTCATGAAGATCACCTTAGAACTGTGTGTTGGTAAGAATTTATCTTGTTTATTTTAAGAATATAAACGCATCACATCAACCAACAAGATGTTCGAAATTTGATAGGGAGGTAGTTCATGACTAGAAGACGTTATTTAAGAATGAGTCCAAAGGCGAGAGCAAATTTATGTCCTTTCTTCACTGCCACAGCTTAGGGTAGTCAAAAGCTAGGCGCATTGAGGCGCTGGGCTTACGGGTGGCCCTGGACATGTCCAAGGCCCTCTTATTTCACGGGTCCCGTCGGCGCCTCAATTGTCGTCAACTCGGTCCTCGTACCGGTTCAGGCCCAGATGACGTATCTGGGCCTGATCCTCGACGGGAGGTGGCTCTTCGACGAGCACTTTCGACGGCTTGCTCCAAATCTGGTCGGCGCTGCGTCTACTCTTGGGCGACTTTAGCCTAATCTGGGTGGACCCAGCGTCGCAACGAGACGTCCTGTCAATGGCATTGTACGGCGCACCGGTGTGGGCAGCGGCTCTGACCAGCCAAAATAGAGCACGCCTTTGGCGTCCTCAGAGGGTATTGGCAGTTAGAGCCATACGTTGTTACCGCACATCATAGTGATAGTTGTTTTACCGCGGTCGCGAGATAACGTCTTCGCAAAAGGAGGCGGCGGAGAGGGCCCGGGAGGATAATCTCCACTCGGACCCAATTCGCCGCCGACGAACCGGGCGGCCACCAGCGCCTCATGCCGCCCTGAGTGTGGTTGCGGGTGGACATGACGGGTTTTCCCCTCCACCCGTCATAATGGCCAGCCGCGAGGAGGCGACGTCCGCGCGTGCAGGACGTCTCCTAAATAGAGAATATACCCGAAGTTGGTGCCCGCGCCGTTGCGGGCAGGCGCTGGGATGGGTCCGGTTTTCTTAATAACAGCAGTTCCCGGATCCCTCCTATTACAGGCGCAGAGTAGCCGTAAACCCCGGTGGAGTGACGGCCCGAGGGGGTTTCCACACGTAAAAAAAAGTCAAAAGCAAAATACTTGGAAGAAACAAATATGTTTCTTCCAAGTATTTTTTAAATTTTTTAAACAGCCAGGAGGAACACTTTTGTTTCTTTAGGCGTAAAGCTTATAAACATGTTTTATTATATAATTTTATTACGAAAGTATACTTTTAACTTTTAACGAGAACTTATCGTTCCTTCCTTTTTAACACGCTTTTATTAGCTTGGTATGTATGTGTCTACGAGTGTGTATGTACGTATGTAACGGAATCTCCGAACGTGATTTTGACCTACTTTAAAACATCGAATTAAATTGAAACTTTGCTGCTTATGAAGGACTGATGACAATGCAATTATTAACATAGTTTGTTCTATTATCTTGATCAGGACCTTCGAGATTAACGGCTTTCTCTATTCCTAAACATTTGGTAGTCACTTTTGCCACGTGATAAACTGTGATAAACGATTTTTCTTTTTGAACTTATAGTTTTTTTTCCTACTTATTAGTTTAGTTAGTTTTGCTACAATTGTGTTTTTTTTTAGTTTTTTAAAGTACTAATAATAATATTTTGGGCATCTAACACATAATGCCATCTAGTTTCAAACTAAGCAGAGCTTGTATTATGAAAGCTAGATTGACTCATAGAATACTTTCTTCTTTTTTTTGTAAATACACACATATTAGACATAGAAACGCTCAGACCAAATCAAATATTAAAAGTTCATGCACACAAATGTTTGACTTGAGCGGGAATCGAACCCGAGACCTTTGGAATAGCAGTCCAGCACATAACATAGTAGAGGTAAAAAAGAAAAACTTTTTTTTTGGCCTGTCTCTAAGCTGTATGCTGCTTGTTGCATACTTTGCTTGATATAATGCCATAACTTTATGACTCCTTATACAGGCAGCTAACTTGTAGTAAAATATTATCAAAATCGGTCTAGCTATTTTTAAGATTACCCGGAAGAGACAGACAAAAATATTTAAACTGGATTTTAGGCATAGGTATCGTACAAATGACCGTGTGAACATGAAAAAACCCTATTATTTTGACATTACAAACAGAAACTTCAATTTTATTTATTTGTAAAGATAATCGTGTAAATTTATTTCTTAGTCCTCTATCTGCCCTTGTTTGACTTGTTTATTAATTAAAATCTGTCATTTAATTTTGAGTGAATTCATAATTCTTAGTTTGCAATGAATTCACTAACACATGTATCATAAATTTTAGTTCTTTATTCTAAGAACGCACTACGTGGGCTTGTTGTTGGCTCTGGGATATCGCAAATCAAAAACTTTTTTAGACTCATTTTATTATTTGACATTGCGATTTGAACGCAGTAAAATCTTTTGTTTATTTTTAATTTGTCTTGTTATTTAGCAGGATATTTTACAGCTTTATTTTTTTTTAGTTGTATTATGACTTCATCATTTGTTATACCTTTTTGTTATTATTTCAAGTTGATTGTTTTAACGATTGTTATGGGATTCTAATCGTTCAGCGCAGTTTTATCTTCATTAGTTTATTGTTAGTGCTCTGCTCTCAAGAGTTATAATGCGACATAAATAAATTATGAGTTCCCTCCAAAATTTCACTATCAAATACAAATAATAATCAAATAGTTTCAGAGATATACGCCATGGCAAAAACAAACACCATACAAAATTCTTCATCTTCATTATACTACCTATACGTGAAAAACAGATATTTTTATAACTGAATATGATATTGTCGAGATTATCAGTGTCTATCTTTAGAAAACTGCTAAAGAAGCGTATGCTAAGTAATATTATGTTCCCCTTCCTTTATTTTTATTTATTTTTTCTGTGCGGAAACCCCCTCGGACACCTCCCACCGGTGGGGTGGTTATTTCGGATTCGAACCGACCAAAAACCGTACGCCATCTCGTGTACCAGTAGCCGGGGAACCAGGTGTACCCTAGGAAGGAAATCCCTGGTACCCCGACGGAAATATTATGTTCCCCTACCGAATCCAGAACTCAAACAAGGGAATTATTGTGAATAACATATATAACAGGATCTAAGACCATGCCTGAATCTAGGGTTAAGACTAAATTGTCTGGAGCTGTAAATCAAATAAAACGAAATATATTTTTGAGCCACACTTGGACCAGGCTCGACCGGAGTGATACCCTGGCCTCACAGAAATCCGATGCTAAGCAATTTATTTTTGATTTTTCTCTTTGTTTCGTTGCTTTTCACCGAGTGAGTGAGGTTACTGAACCCTCCCTTCCCTCTGATTCTGGGAGGAGGAACCGCAAAGGCAGCAAAGCAGTTGTAACTCTTGTGTTGCAGTTGTCCATGAGCGATGGTAGTCTCTTAACATGAGGTGGTCACCTGCTTGTTTGCTCCCCCCCCTCCCCCCTTTACCATGAAATAAAGTGGTAGTGTAATGTTAATTAGTGCTATTAGACAAGAAAATTATTGCTACTTTTAAATCATAATCATATGATGAAATGATTTCTTTAAGTCACTGCGGGTTCACCTGTGATTGTGATTTGGACAAAGATATAATGCCTTTAAAATCAAGCAAAATTCTTTTTATCACAGATTACGACCTTTTTTTAGATTTAGGCTATTCGCGAGTCTGTCGCCAGTAATAGTAATAATAAGTCGCAGTGGTTATGTAAATCAAGAACAGGTGTGAAAATAAATTATATGTTGAAAAATAATAGTTTTAGACTAACACATACTCAGCAGTTAATTTCCATATGAACTCACTTTATAATTTACGTATAATACAAAACTCTTTCGTACTCCACAACTACTATAATGGGGTAGCTATGCCCATCATCTCTTTGACTTTCCAACAACTCGGGCTTCTATTTGACTTGAACCACTTACTGTAATATCCATACTGTTAAATGCACGTTCCTACTCTAACTGCTCTAAGTGTTACCCTTTTCTACTGAACTGTACTCATACATATTCTCTTTATTATTGAAACTACTGAAAATTCTTGAGCTTATACTTAAATTTTTAAGGGCCAAAGTGACGTCATCGTCAATCGAGAATTAATAAAGTCTCGTGTTTTTAGTTGTAAGAGATGCAATGCAATCCAATCAATTAAGAATGTAGAGATAATTAAATAGTTAGAAAATAATCAAATATTATATTACAAGGATGAATTCATAGTAACTTAGGATTGAACACTTAACATAGGATAGGAACTTAGGATGATGTAGTTGAGACCTTGGGCAGTTGGGGTACAGACGCTAAGGTGTTTGTATATGAGTTAGGGCGCAGGCTGAACGAAGTGACCAGTGACAACAGCCATTCCGCGTGGAAACGCAGCTAGCGTTATAATAATAATAATAATAATAATTTATTCCATAAACAATGTTTTTGTACAGTACATGGTTTTACAAATATTACAGTGGGTACATAATACATTTAAATTGGGGCATCTGTGCCTGGACTAGATAAGAAATCTGTATCCCAGACATCAGCGCTTTTCCCTGATTACATCACCTAACTATACCTAAACCATTTATTTTAACAAAAATTTTACACTAGTTTTAAAAAATAATAAATAAACACTAATATCAGATTACTATACAAATATCACTGCAAAATCGAAGCTCAAGAAATAGGAATATTTGTATTATTTGTCCTCTCTGTGAGTGGAGTGAAGATGTGAAAGTGTGAGTGTGAGAGGGTGAGTATAACGGTTACTGTGGCACATTTAGGAGATTTTCAGTTTCATCATACGATAATTTATGTATAAATGCGAATATTTTATTCTGGCACTGTTTTTTATTGAGGTTGTATAATGTTAAAATGTTATTAATTTTGGTATATAGATAAGGGCCAAGAAAACAAAAATATTTCCTTACATAGACATGTTTAAAGAGAGGTCGAACAAGATTTGGAATGGTTTGTCGTCTTTTAGTTTCAGTACAGCTTATGGGATCCAGTAAACAATGCTGTTTCATTAAGGTATGCGCTATAAACAACTGTCGGACCGTTAGAACCTCGGATAACTGATATAGGTGATACGTAGGGCACCGGAATGGTCGGAAAGA